TGTAAACACATTGTTAGCATATATATTACATTTTGGGAAACATTAATACTGATTTTACAAAAAAAAAATCACAACCAAAAGAGTACACATGCAAATCACAAAACATATCATAAACAAAAATATTATAGATCATTATATTTTAGTCATCTAGATCTAGAAGACTTCCTGGAAGTCGTCTGGAAGACTTTCTGGAAGTTTTCTGGAAGACTTCATGTAGGAAGTCGTCTGGAAGATTTTCTAGAAGTTGTCTAGCACATTATATTCTAGAAGACTTTCATAAGTCTTCCAAAGTCTGATATAGATCTGAAAACATGTATATCAAACCCAGAACTGAAAAACCTGCAAAAAAAAAAGACATGAGACAAAACTGAAAAATTCATATAAAGTTTGGTGTTTTTAAGTCAAAGAGATTAGAGTGGATTTGGAGAGTTTAGTCTGGAAGATTTCCTGAAAATCATCTGGATGACTTTCTGGAAGTCGTCTGCAAGACTTCTTGAAAGACTTCTAGCGCATTATATTTTAGACGCTAACAGGTAAGTCGTCCCAGAAGACTTCCGAATCTGAAAAACCTATATATCCAAATCCAAATCTGAAAAATCTGCATATCTAAAAACGTTCAAATGGATTAAAACAGAGAAAATGAGTGGAAGATTAGATAAATCTACATTTATAGGACACACAAAAATACATAACTAAAATTAATAGATCTACCTTTAAATGAGTAGAAGATGAGAACCATATGATAAAAACCTGCAAAACAAGATAAATTAGTGAAAAAGACATAAGGCAAAAACAATAAATTGATATGAAGTTTGGTGTTTATAATAAGTTCAGAGAGATTAGAGAGAGGTTAGAGAGTTTTAGAATAATGAACGTTATATTTTTGTTGCAGCCATTTGGGAGGAGCAGAGAGAATGTGTATTTTTTTCTTTATATAGAGAGGCAAAAAGTCCAATTAGATTAAATATTTTTGATCCAGGCGACTTACTTGTAAGTTCTCCAGAAGATAGACAACTCACTTGTAAACTAAAATATTTTTTTACGGAAACTAAAATATTTTTTATGGGAAATTAAAATAGAAGATTTCCTAGACGATGTCTAGATCCTGAACATAACTTCTAAACAAATTTAACTAACTAAACACTTCATAAAATCAAATGAAACTTCAAAAGTGTTTATTATATAAAGAGATAAACATATATAGGTAAAATTTTAATTTTTCAAAAAAATATTTTAGATTTTCAGTTTTAGTTTAGTAAAAAATTATTCTTATGTAAAGTTTTTTCTGAATAAAATAATATTTAAGCGGAAAAATAAAATTTAGGCAATAATATTAGGACGATTTACATGTAATCTTCTAGTTTAAATTATTCACGAGACCACTTACAAGATAGTCGTCTAGACCATAAACATAACCCATAAACTTAATTAACTAACTAAACATTTCATAAAAGCAAATTAAACTTAAAAAATGTTTATTATACACAGAAATAAACATATATAGGTAAAAATGTAATTTTTCAAAAAAACAATCAAACTTTCCAAAATCTGACCCTAAGAATACATACAATACTACAGCATATGTTGTTAAACCCTAAGACCAAAAAATATCATGATCAATTACTTTCAGTCATCTCTGTTGAAAACTAGTCAATTTTATTATATCTTAATTTACATCACTTAAAACTGTTTATAATTACATGATCTTAATTTTGTACTTGTCAAAATATATTTTTAAAATTTATAAATTAATTTTAAGATCAACTACATCACACGACTAACTTGGAAGTCATCTAGATGACTTCCAGCATCTCACACGATTCATACGACTTACTGGAGCTATATTCGTAAAAATGACTTCTGACAGTAATTTCACAAGACTTTTAGGTTAGTTTTGCGTTTGATTCAAGTTCGGGTATAAATTTGCATCTAAAATCATGTTTTGAGTCATATTTGGAAAATTCACTTAAAATTTTTAAAATTAAAATAAAGTTATATAGTTTATTTATTTTTTTAATAATATAATAAAATTGACTTTATAATATTTTTTTCAAAATAAAATAAAATTGCGGTTAAATATTTTTAAAAAAAATCACATTGAAAATATAATATAATTCGTATAATTACACATAACCTTCATTATTTTTAATAAAAACATAAGATACTATATATTTATATATTTACAGATATAAACATAGCTATATTATTTAGAAATAAATAAATTCTATCATATATTAATTTTTAGGATAATTTTATATATGAACTATTTACCGCTCTAAAAATAAATAAAGAATATATATATATTATTTTAGAATAAATATATTCTTTACTAATTTTAATGATAATTTAAACTTGTATATTGCTACTGCTCTACCAAACGTTTACAATTTTGGCAGCATAATATTTGTAATTCATATTTTTACTGATTTATCATCAGTTGTTCCAATCGAAACCTAAATCGACTGTTTTAGAAATTTATATTTTAGATAACGGAAATACAACTATCTTCAAATTATGCTGAAACACTTGTCGTTCAAACAATTTCATCACTTTCTGTGTTATTTTTGTTGAGCATTTCTTATATATAATTACTAATTAAAACATAAAAATCAAAAATCAAAATAACAGCAGATGAAGTTATGAAGTTATTGTTGTTAATTATTTAAAATAACTGCTGAGAAAAAAAAGATCAATCAATAACTTTGGTTGCTCACAGTGAAAAGAAATGATATAATAAACCAAATAAAAAACTAATAGAGAAAATTTGCTCATTGAATAGAATTTTTGGTTAAAATTAAATAAAAATACAAGAGTTAAATTTCTAAATATAAATATCATTTTAAATAAGCATAATTTTTTTGTAGAAAAAAACGTTATTTTTCTTGTTCAGTTCTAATGAGAAAACATGCTCCATATTTTTTTAGAGGTATGAATTGGAAAATTAAAAACAATATATATACATATAAAATAAAATTATATTTATATTAGCTGATATAATTTTATTGAACTTTTCAATATTAAGCACTTTTAATCGTTAAAACCGACAATTATGTTCTGACAGAACCAAGGAAAGTTTGATTTGTCGTTTGTCTTTAATGGCTAAATTGTTAAAGAATTAATTTTGGTATGAAATCTTGTTCCAAAACTAGATGATTACTTTTGGTCTGAAATCTTATGAAAAATAATTGTGTTCACTATTAAAAAAAAAATATATATATATATACTGGATGACTGTAAGTTAAAGTCCCAGATTAAGAAGTTACCTTCTAATGTTGTTGAAAAACGTTTTTGGTCTGAAATCTTATGAAAATATTGTGTTAGCTTTTTCAGAAAGTTATATTTTGAATGACGTTAACTTAGATTTTTTTTTAACATTAGTTAATTATACATTACAAATTATGAAAAATATTACATAAACAATATTATAGCCGATAATTTTACATGTCTTATGCGAATTCACGTCAATTTAAATTCTATGATGAAAATTTTACCTTGGAACGTTGTTGACAAATGTTTTGGTTTTCCTTTCTTTATTGATGTTTCGATATTAGTAATCCATTTTAGTAATTAAAACCGACAATTTGTTTTGACAGAACAAATGAAAGTACGATTTCTTGTTTGTCATTAATGCTTGATTGTTAAAAAAAAAATACTTTTGGTATGTAATCTTGTGGCAAAATTAAATGATTACTTTTGGTCAAATCTTATGACAAAAAATTGTGTTAACTGTCCCAGAAAGTTATATTCTTGATGACGGTAAGTTAAAGTCTCAGATTAAAAATTTACCTTCTAATGTTGTTCAAAATGTTTTTGGTTTTCATTTCTTTACTGAATTCAATTTTAGTAAACTATTTTAATCATTAAACCTAAAATGATTTAAGGGAAATGAAGGTTGATTTGACATTTGTCTTCTGCGGTTTAATTGTTAAAAACTATATTTATATTTGATAAGAAATGTTTTTGACAAAACTAGACGATTACTTTTGGTATAAAATCTTTGACATTTTTTTATTGTTCCAAAAAGTTAATTTTGGATGAACGCAAGTTAAAATATCAAATTAAAATTTTACTTTCTAATCTTGTAAATTTAAGGGAAAATGAAGGTTGATTTGTCATTTGTGTCTTAAACGGTTTAATTGTTAAGAAAATATGTTTGGTATAAAAATTTTGTGACAAAACTAGACAATTGTTTTTGTTGCGAAATCTTATGACAAATTTTTTTACTGTTCCAAAAAGTTATTTTTGTATGAAGGTTATTTAAAGTATCAAATTAAAAATTTACTTTCTAATGTTGTTGACAAGTGTTTTAGTTAACATTACTAAATTTGTCGATACTGAGTACTATTAAGGCATAATTAACCTCAGTTTCGTAGTCAGGATTATTAATTCATGATTTGAATTTTTTGTTTTTTTATATATTTTTCAGACAAGAAACAGTTCTTATATCTCTTATTTAAAAAATAGTTTTTATTTTTTTTAGTTAAAATCTAAAAAACCACTAAAATCGTCTTTTAACTGAAATTAAAAATCTCATAAGAATTTCAATTAAGAGACTGGAGTTAATGATGGCCGACTCTTTCACCGAAACCAATAAAGATATGATTTGTCATTAACGGCTAAATGGTTCAAAAGTACGTCTAGTATGTAATCTTGTGAAAAAAATCTGAACGCTTACTTTTGGTCTGAATCTTGCTTACTTTTGGTCTGATGAATCTTAGAGCACTAGCAGTAGTAGGATCTGCACATTTTTCTGGAAATAAAAAGATTTTTTTACGTTCTAGGACACTTTCTTACTTTCAATTTACACAATCAAACACATATCACTAGAGGCACACTTTTTATGTATTGATTGTCTTTTATGCCCTTCTGTTTTGTTTCTTCTCAATATTTCTTCTTTAGTAACTAAATTAAAAATATAATTAATACAACTCATCCTTTATCTTTTAGTGATCCTCTTTTTTTCTTTATCCCGAATCTAGTTCGTTCATCTTTGAAAAACTATGGCGAAATCAAAATCCGGGAACCTTAATAGTCAACCTTCTTTTCTTCAGATTGATATCGAAGGCTTATATTTTGAATTCTTTAAATCCTTTTGACTTTCAAGAGTTTTCGAAATTCCTAATTATTTATGTTTTTCTTGTTTTAATTATTTTTCTTGTAGTTTTCAATTGAATTGAATCTCTGAGATTTTGTGGACGGGAGAGATGATGAGCAGATCCGTGAGCTCCGGTGTAGAAAGGACGACGTGACGGCAAGCAAGTCCAAGCATCCTTGTGGGAGGATGACAGAACGGCCGGTAAATCCAAGCTCCGGTGTGAAGATGATGCGGCAACGAACAGGTGCAGCCTCTTTTGTGAATATGTAGACGACAAGCTCTCTCTTGTCTCGTGGTGTGAAGGTTAGCTTCATTCCTTTTTCTACAAATAACTCAATTTTGACATTTACATATTCTAATTTCACTTCCTTTCTTCGTATTAGAATCTGAGAATTAAATGTTGAATACATCTTCTTTGTATCAGAGATCTGAAAGTAAAAATGCTTGACTTTAATAAAAATACTTTTTTATTTATTGTTTATTAGTTTCCCACAACAAGTGTTCTGAATCAATATTTTGATTATATGATTAGATGAAAATTTGGGCCAAACTTGACATGACCACATCAAGAATCCATGGACGTTGCAACAAGATATTTTGACTACATGATCATATCAAGAATTTATGATGTAGTCCACAAGAATCCATGGATACAGAACACTTGTTGTGATCATATGTAATTATTAGACCAAATTTGGTAAAAATATGGATGTTAACGTTTTAGTGTCATTTTCTAGTTTTAATGTCCATGTCCACATACAGTTTATAACTCTATTATCTAAATATCCATATCCACATTTATATAGAAATTATATATATATATATATATATATATATATATATATATATATATATATATATATATATATATATATATATATATGAAAATAGATTATTTTATATTTAACTTAAATTGATAATTATTTTTGTTTTATATATGTTAGAAATTGTAATAAAAATAAATGAAGTTATAATGTGATAAGAAAAACAAAAATATAAAATATTAATTAAACATAAAAGATAAATAAGTTTGATCCCCACACCAACTAGACACAAACGACACCATCTTGTTCTCTCTCTCTCAGGTTATCCAGCGAAGGGTATTTTTGTCTCACTTTTATCTTTCATAGAGAAAAAGTGTCTATCAAGCAAGAAGTGACTTAATAGGTAAAAAAAGAGAAGAAAGTGTCTTAAAATGTAATGCACTCAAATAAAAATATTGAAAATAATAGAAATAGATGAGAGAGAAGGAAAAACAATACCTTCATGAAGAAGCGTTCTGCAACTGCTAGAGATTCTAACAATGTTTATCGTTGTCTGATTGGTTGAAATTTTATTTTTATTTAAAATTTAATTTAGTAATCTTAATAAAAATAAAATTATTACTATTATATTGATTAGGTATTATATATACATATCAAACCACTAATGATGCTCTTATGGAAGAATTGTGTTGACTATTGCCAAAAGTTATATTTTGGATGACAAAAAATTTAAAGTATCAAATTAAGAATTTACCATCTAACATTGTTGACAAGTGTTTCGGTTGACGTTTTTGAATTTGTAAGTATTTGTAAGCACTTTTAATCATTAAGGCAGGTAAATTTTTAACAGAACCAATAAAGATTTGATTTGTCATTAACCGTTAAATTTGTAATTTATTGACGTAAGACCGACTAAGTGAGTTTGAAAGACTCCAAATAGTCCGATCCTAGCGTATTCAAAATAATTTGTTCATCCAGTCTGATCCTAGTGGATATCGGTCCGGATGATCTTCCATTTGTTCTTAGTTCATCTAACCTTAGATAGCTCAGCTCCGCATTGTACAATCATGGCAGGCTCGTCTGAACAATATAGTCAAAATTCGTCCATTGACTGTTTCATCTTCGTCCTCATAACCGGACACTATAAAAAACCTAAAAAATGTGAACTTCAAAACAAACTTATGTGTGGCATGAATCCAATGCTTCATATGCCTTATAAATGAGACTTCTCTATATATATTCTTAAAAGATTGTGTATGTTAGAGTTTTGATCAATAGTCAATAAGGAACCGGGATGTGTGAGATCAACATCATTCTCCACTATGATCATTGCAATCCCCAAGTTCAATATTGCAAAACATGAATAGGCAATCCTTCATCGATCCATATTTATAAATTACATGTACATTCAATTACGTTTTTTATTGGGGGGGGGGTATTGGAGATTCGGGAATATTCTTCGTATATATTGTTGTACGAGATTGTAGGAGTAGATATGTTACAAGTAGATTTGATCTAATCATATAAAGATCTTCTATGTTGATTGTATATAAACCCACGTTGGGTAGATGAAATACATAAGAACTTCTTCTCTTTTGGCATGGTATCAGAGGAGGAGAACAAATTCTAGTTCCTTGCATTTCTTTCTCTATCTTTTCTCGTTTTTCTATTCATGGTTGGGGCTATTGAAGCTGGGAAATCATCTGGTACGATGACCAATACAACGTTGGTTTCACCGTACTATTTGCATCCGTCTGCCAACACGAGTCAAGCTCAATCTCCAATTCTCTTGAATGGTGATAATTACGAAAGGTGGGCGAAACTCATGATGAATTCACTTCGCTCGAAGAGAAAGGTGTCTTTTCTCGATGGAACTTTGACGAGGCCGTCTTCAGACTCGGTGGAAGCTGAGAAGTGGGACATGGTCAATTCGATGACATTGGCTGGATATACAGCAGCATTGAGCCAAAACTACGACCTTCGGTTTCCTTGGTTGATAGTGCAAAGCTCATGTGGGATGGCTTGCAGAGACGTTTCTCTGTTAGTGATGGAACGAGGGATCATCAACTGTGCGCCGATCTTGCAGCGTGCAAACAAGATGGTCAATCAGTGGAGTCCTATTTTGGGAAGTTAAAGGTTTTGTGGGATGATCTGGCGGATCTCGAGACTGGTTTCCAGTGTTGTTGCGGTGATGGTACTTGTGCTGCTATGGTGAAATATGAGCAGCACTGTGAGAAGATACGCGTACATCAGTTCTTAATGGGTCTTGACAATGCTCGTTTTGGAACATCTCGATCCAACTTGTTGAGCCGTGAATCAGTTCTCAACCTTGATAAGGTGTACTCACAAATCGTTCAGGAGGAACGACATCTTAATGCTACTCGATCCATGGAGGAACGCGCCACAGCTGTAGGTTTGTCTGCTACAACTTCGGCATCTGCAGCTGCTGCTCGACCGTTCAACAATAAGGGACTCAAATGCTCGCATTGCAACAAATCTGGCCATGATGTGAGTAATTGTTTCCAGCTGAATGGGTTTCCAGAATGGTGGAATGAGAAGTCTTCAGGAAGAGGAACTGGAAAGGGACGTGGAGAAGGATCAGGCCGTGGTAGAGGAAGAGGGACTGTGCAACAACGAGCGTATCACGCTCAAACCGCAGATGAAACAGCTCCGGGGATTCCAAACTTCACGTCTGATCAATGGAAGTCTCTGGCTCAGTTCATGAACTCACAAAAATCAGGTGCTGATGAGAAGCTGTCTGGTAAGAGAGAAAAACTTCTTATTATGGGTAAAGAAAGTCGTTTTGATGTGATAATAGATTATGGAGCGTCTAACCACATGACAGGAGATGATACACTCTTGACTGACATTCGGTCTATGGTACCGTGTGCCATTAAGCTACCAGATGGTGGTATTACTTGGGCCACGAAATGTGGAGTTTTAACTCTTGGGAGAAAGCTTATTCTACAAAATGTTTTTCTAGCACCCCATCTTGATATCACGCTCATCTCTGTTGCACAATTATTAAGAGACATTGATGGTTTCGTGTTATTTACAAAACAGTTTTGTGTGATACAGGACCACAATTTGAAGACTTTGATTGGTGCGGGTGAGGAGCGTGATGGGTTATATCATTACAAGGGTATGATCGATGCTCAAGCTAGCAGTGCTTCAAAGCTTCAGAGTCGAGATTTGTGGCATAAGAGGTTGGGGCATCCTTCGCCTCCGGTGTTGTCTTTGCTTTCTGGTGTTGGTGTTTTTAAAAATAATGTGGGTGTTTTGGAAAATTCTTGTGATGTTTGCATTCGAGCCAAACAAACACGTGATAAGTTTAATGAAAGTTTGAATAAAGCTGATGCTCCTTTCTCTATGATTCATTGTGACCTTTGGGGGCCGTATAGAACAAGATCCTCTTGCGGAGCTCATTATTTTTTAACAATCGTTGATGACTATTCGAGAGCAGTTTGGACTCTACTGCTTCTTGAAAAATCTGAGGTCTCAAAGTTGCTCCGAAACTTCATTGCTTTTGTAGAGAGACAATTCAAGAGACAAGTTAAGGTTGTTCGCAGTGATAATGGTACGGAGTTCACCTGTCTGCGATCATATTTTCAAGAATGTGGTATTGTTCATCAGACCTCTTGCGTCGCAACTCCTCAACAAAATGGAAGAGTGGAGCGCAAGCATCGACATATATTGAATGTGGCGCGAGCACTTTTGTTTCAAGCTCACTTACCGGTGAAGTTCTGGGGAGAAGGAATACAAGCAGCAACTTACTTGATCAATCGTACGCCATCTGTTCTGCTGGAAGGAAAGACACCGTACGAACTACTCTCTGGATCATCACCTGATTATTCACAAATACGCGTCTTTGGCTCACTCTGTTTTGCACGTCGTGTTCAACGAGACAAAGACAAATTCCAGGAGAGGAGCATTCGTTGTATGTTTCTTGGCTACGAAACAGGCAAGAAGGGTTGGATTGTTTTTGATCTCGAGAAAGAAGAAAAATTCGTGTCTCGTGATGTTATTTTCAGAGAAGATGAGTTTCCTTTTGCCAAAACATATACTGCAGGGAAGCATGATAAAGAAACTCTTGGTGTTGATTTACACCCTGCGGTGTTTGATGAGATTGATGAGGCTCCAACGACAGGGGGAGTTGCCTCTCAACTACCTGTTGATGCTGAAGCTGAGGTACTCGAAGAACAGAACTTGGGAGATGTTCCTGTCGAAGTTTCTTCACCAGTTGCAGAGAAAGATTTTGTGGTCACAGATTCAGAAGTCATAGTTAATGAGAATCAAGAACAAGAGACACAAGTCAATGAACAACTCGGACGTGGTCAAAGGGTTAAACAACAGTCAGTGTTGCTCAAACCGTATGTGACCTATTCTGCACAAGCTGACACCCATCACGCTACCCCCTGCAACAATCAACAGTCTTCAGGTACCTCTCTTTATCCACTAACTGATTTTGTTTCATATGATCGCTTCTCTTCTTCTCAGAAGGCGTTC